ATAGTGAGGAAATACTGGACCAAAACAAGACTGAAAACCAGTTGTTTTTTCCTTTCCTTTTCTCTTTATGGTTCTTTTTATTTCTTTTTTATTTGTTCTTCTCTCATATATTACATCTGCAGTTCCCTCCCTCCACTCCCCCTGTGTCATCCCCTGCACCTTCCCCAGGTCCACTCCTCCTTCCCCTTCAGAAAAGAGCAGGACTCCCAGAGATATCAACCAAAGATGGTTCTTCTTTCTTTCTTTCTTTCTTTCTTTCTTTCTTTCTTTCTTCCCTTCCCCTTCCTTCCTTCCTTCCTTCCTTCCTTTTTTCTTTCTTTCCTTTCTTTCTTTTTCTTTTTCTTTTTTTCTTTTGGATTTTTGAGACAGGGTTTCTCTGAAGTTTTTGGTGCCTGTCCTGGAACTAGCTCTTGTAGACCAGGCTGGCCTCGAACTCACAGAGATCCGCCTGCCTCTGCCTCCTGAGTGCTGGGATTAAAGGCGTGCGCCACCACTGCCTGGTGCTTTCATTCTTTTTAATCGTTTTTATTGAGTTATATATTTTCTCCCCTCCCCTCCCTTTCTTTTCCCTCCCCTTTTACCCTCTCCCATGATCCCAGTGCTCCCAATTTACTCAGGAGATCTTGTCTTTTTCTACTTCCCATGTAGATCAAATCCATGTATATCTCTCTTAGAGTTCTGTTTGTTGTCTAGGTTCTCTGAGAATGTGAATTGTAGGCTGGTTTTTCTTTGCTTTATGTCTAAAAGCCACTTATGAGTGAGTACATATGATATTTGTTTTTCTGGGTCTGGGTTACCTCACGCAATACGGTGTTTTCTAGTTCCATCCATTTGCCTGCAAATTTCAAGATGTCATTTTTTTCTCACTGTGTAGTACTTCATTGAGTAACTGTACCACATTTTCCTTATCCATTCTTCTGTCAAGGGGCATTTAGGTTGTTTCCAGGTTCTGGCTATGACAAATAATGCTGCTATGAACATAGTTGAGCACATGTCTTAGTGGTATGATTGGGTGTCCTTTGGGTATATACCTAAAAGTGGATTGCTGGGTATTGATGTAGGTTATTTCCTAATTTTCTGAGAAATCACCATACTAATTTCCAAAGCAGCTGTACCAGCTTGCATTCCCACCAGCAATGCAGGAGTGTTCTCTTTTCCCAGTAACCTCTCCAGCATAAGTTGTCATCAGTGTTTTTGATTTTGGCCATTCTTACAGGTGTAAGATGGAATCTCAGAGCTGTTTGATTTGAATTTCTCTGATGGTTATGTTGGACCCTGAAGTCCAGTCACCGAGGAGGAGTCGCCCCATGAGACCATTCTCACACCACAGTTGATGTAAAAGCAAGAGGATTTAATTCTGTCGCGACAGGGTCTTTCAGCATTCAAGAAGCCAAAAGACCCCAAACGATTGTTTCAAGCTATTTTTAAAGCAAAAAGCCATAGAAACAAGGTGGGGGAGCCTCGGGGGTTGTTTTTTAACTATTGGGATTGGCTTATTCAAAGGGCTATTACCAATAATTGGCTGGAGAGCGGTTGCCAGAGCAGGTGAGGTAAAAGGGAACATCTGAGAGTCACTTTGCCCCCTTCCCAGGGACTGAGTCAAAACATCTGTGGACATCTGTGGGTTATCTTGTCCCAATTCCAGGAATGGAGCTCTATTTGGAGAACACTCACAAGGACTCAGGGAGATGGAAAGTTCCCAACATTCTAGTATGTTTAGGTGCAGTTGTTAGGTTCCTGGGTGTGTGTGTGGGGGGGAAGCACTAAGGCTGAGAGGCCTCAGAAATGGCCTCAGAGTTCTACAGATAAGGATGTTGAGCATTTCCTTAACTATCTTTCAGCCATTTTAGATTTGTCTATTGAGAGTTCTCTGTTTAGTACTGTTCCCCATTCTTTTATTAGATTATTTTTTTTTGATGTCACGTTTCTTGAGTTCTTTGTATATTTTGGAGATCAGCCCTTTGTCCGATGTGGGATTGGTGAAGATCTTTTCCCATTCTACAGACTGCTGTTTTGTCTTATTGACCATGTCCTTTGCTTTACAGAAGCTTTTCAGTTTCAGGAGGTCCTATTTATTAATTGTTGCTCTCAGTGTCTGTGCTACCGGGGTTATATTAAGGAAGTGGTCTCCTGTGCAACACATTCAAGTGTACTTCCCACTTTCTCTTCTAAGAGGTTCAATGTGGTTGGTTTTATTTTGAGGTCTTTGATCCATATGGACTTGAGTTTTGGGCATTGTGATAGATATGAATCTATTTTCATTCTTCTACATGTTGATACCAAGTTATGCCAGCACCGTTTATTGAATTTGCTTTCTTTTTTCCATTTTATACTTTTTGCTTCTTTGTCAAAAGTCAGTTTGTAGATGTGTGAATTGATATCTGCATCTTCTATACAATTCTATTGGTCCTCCTGTCTGGTTTTATGCCATCACCAGGCTGTTTTCATTACTGTAGCTCTTTAGTATTGTTTGAAGTCAGGGATGGTGATGCCTCCAGAAGTTCCTTTATTATACAGGATTGTTTTGCCTATCCTGGGTTTTTTGCCTTTTCTTATGAGGTTGAGTGTTGTTCTTTTGAGGTCTGTGAAGAATTTTGCAAACATGGTTCTTAGAAAGGTGAATATGAATATCTCAATCCTTATTGTCTTCCCTAGTACTTCCTTCTGCCTGCGGAGCTTGTGACCTGCTCACTGTCCATCCTTTTCCTACAGCCCCGGCCTCATCTCTTGCCAATCCTCCCACTCTGTGGTGTTAACTTCTTATAGGGAACCAGAGAAATAAACCCCACAGTGGGAATTCACTTTATAAACTCAGGAAAAATAAGGGAAAACCCTCTAATAAGAATAGCTTGCTGGGTGGTGGCGGCACACGCCTGTAATCCTAGCACTTGTGAGGCAGAGGCAGGTGGATCTCTGTGATTTCAAGGCCAGCCTGGACTATGAGGCTAGTTCTAGGACAGCTAGAGCGACTACACAGAGAAATTCTATCTTAAACTCCCCCCCCCAAAAAAAAAAGAAAAAGGGAAAGAAAAAAGGAAAGAAGGAAGGAAGGAAGGAAAGAAGAAAGAAAGAAAGAAAGAAAGAAAGAAAGAAAATCTTGTATCCAGTTTTGGGTGGTACCCAAAGAGAAACTGGCCCTGCATGAAAACTATTTGAGGCTTATATAGATCTTGAGCTATAACATCTCGTAAATGATGTCACCTGAATATTTCTTTGAAGTCCCAGCTCTGAGAGATGTTCTGAGCAATTAAACATGTTTTACAGAAAATCAGCCATTTTAGACAAAACAGAGACACCACCAAGAATATCTCTAGAGCATGTCAGAACGGGGAGATTTACACTGTAATGGTACAGTCACACATGTGGTCACAAATGTCACAGTTATTCTATCACCTCATTTTTCTGCCAACTACCACTTGTGATCCAAGGTCATCCTGTTGGCCTGGCACAGCTAACTTTTTCCTGGTAGGGAAATGGAACCAGAACTTAAGGGCGGCTGTGAGGCAATGCTGCCTCCCTTTATCTGAATGCCCAATGGAGTCTGACCCTTGATGTGAGGAAGAGTCCAGTGACCAGCTGTGGGCCTGGGCTGTCTTCTAAAATAGGGCCTACCTGATGGCGATCTTAGTGGACATAGCTGACTGTCACTTCTGAAATGCATTTGTCAGTATTCTCTTGACCTTTTGGTATTTTCTCTTGACCTTTTGGTATTCTCTTGACCTTGGCTGCCTTTAAGACTCAACCCAAGGGCTGCCTCCCCTAGGAAGCCTTCCGGGTTCTCAGCCTGAGTAAGCCTCCCAGCGGTCTCCACTCTTTTTCTCTTACAGTGCGCTCTTTACTATTAACATATCTGCTTCTCCACTGATCTCTGGGCTCTTTTCTTCTCTAGTTAGCAAAGGACTCAAATTAACCCCCTTGATTATGCTTGTTGAATAGATTACTCATCCACTGAATGAAAGAATGAATGAATGAACGAACGAATGAAGGTCAGTCTGTGCTCCTCACATGGCTCACAGGCTTTGTTCTTAGCCCAGTCTTCCCGTCCAGAGATGGAGGGCTCCCATTAGGGTCCTGCAGTACTGGTATCTTCTTCCCTCTCTTGAGGCTGACTCAAGGGTCAAGGGTAAAGTTCTGCTGGGACAGATGGGAGCTGAGAGGGATGAGGTAAGCAGGGGACTTGCACCTATCCAGGTAAAAATTGGGAGGAGCAGAAAAATGTGCCAAGTCATTTCTAACTAGAACAAGTCTTCCATGGAAGTGTGTGGGCTGCCTTAGCCCCCTCTCCTCCCATCTTATCTTGAGGTTCTAGTCTTCCCCTCTGAGTCATACTGACAACTTCCCTCCTGGCCTCTAGCCTCTAGCCTCCTGACCACCTTTTGTCTCATCTGCTTCCTTGGTGACTTGGTAGCTGTTTCTGAGTTGCTAGTCTCCCAGAGCCCTGCTTCTGTTCACCAGTCATGAGCTGTCCTTGGAGAGCCCTCCTGCTGCTGACCGGTGAGCCTGGACCTGGAGGAGAGGTACTGGGTACTTGGTCTTTAGCGAGCCAGGTCCCTGAGCTGTAGGATGTGGTTGAAAGAACACGGTCTTGGTAAGGAGAGAGACATTTGCGGGAGGCAGAGGCATAGGGCTGGGGATCTGGAGTTTGGGGGACGAGAGAATGTTAAAGAGTCTATTTGGGGGAGAACCGGAGTGATCCTGAGAACGAGGCTAGTTGGCCTTGACAACCCCAGATTTCTGAAGCAGGCAGAGCAAGCACATCTCATGGTGTACCCATGATACCCCCTTGGTTTCCAGGTTTTTCTGGATTCTCTCTCATCAGAGCCCCAGATGGGAAAAGAGTGTCTTTAAATTTTGATGCTCATTCTGTGAAAACAGAAGCGAAACTTCGCAGTGGAAAGTGAACCCTCAGCTGAGCGGAGGAGAGAAGAGTCCAGGGCCAGGGCTCTTGGGTAGTGAGACAAGCGGGGCATGAGCCTGGGAGATGCAGCCGAGAGGGAAGGATGGTGGTCAAGGGGGTGGAGACCCTCTCTAAAGCTTCTCACACTTCTGCAGCGTTTGCTTCTTCTCTTGGCTTCAACCTGGACACTGAGCAGCTGACACGTTTCCACATGGACGGCGCTGCGTTCGGACACAGTGTGGTCCAGTATGACAACACCTGGTGAGGCCTGGGTGGGAGCTGCACAGAGTCCTGGCCCTCCTCAGCCCCACACCCCAGCGGTACCACCTGCACACCTTCCCTTTGTGGCATGTGGCAATTTTCTTCATGTTTTCCTGAAAACAGGCCCTTTGAGTAACTTCAGATAACATTTCTTGAGTGCTCACTATGTGAGAGGCATTGTGACCTACAGGTCCCAGGGCCTGTTCATTTAGACTTCAGAGTACACTTACAAGGAATTGTACATCTGACTTATATTTATGAAATATCTAAATGTCAGAAATGAAGGGCTCCCATCAGGAGAGAACAAAGCAAACCAAAATCTACCTGCCCAGGACTTGCCTTGTTATGAACCTCCATTATCCCAGAGGGGTGAAGCTGACCCTCTACCATGGCTCCAGTGTTGATGGTCCTAACGGCAGGGCGCTGTGTCTCCCCACAGGGTGATGGTTGGTGCTCCAAAGGAAACGAGGGCCACTAACCAAATGGGTGGCCTCTACAAATGTGGCTATTACGTGGGCAAGTGTGAGCCTGTCCACCTCCAGGGTGAGTCATAACCCTACCTCAGACCTAGTGCTGAGCTCTGATGCTGTGGGCTTTGGTAGGGCCCAAGAGTCCCACCTGTCAGCTGCAGCTCTGTCCATAAACACAGCCTTAGACAAGCTCCTAGGCCTACCCGTCCCGCCTCCATGCTGCCCCAGCTCCCTTACGATGTGGATATCTGCCTCCCCTGTGGGCCCTCACTGTCTCCCAGGTGGAGGTATAACATCTTCTGTCCTCAAGGGTGACTGTGCACATGTCTGTTCCCTCAGTGCCCCCAGAGGCTGTGAACATGTCACTGGGCCTGTCTCTCACTGCTGCCACTAACCCTTCCAAGCTGTTGGTGAGTGCCCTCACTTTCCCAGGAGGGTCTGGAGGGGTCGAATAGGGACTTGGGGCTGCTGGGCCGGGAGTGTTATGGTTGCTAGAGGTGCTGGGATAGGAGAGTAAACCAGGACAGAACAAGTCCCATTCATTAGCCCCCTCTGCCCCAAGGCCTGTGGTCCTACTGTGCACCACACATGCAAAGAGAATATATACCTGACGGGGCTCTGCTTTCTGCTGGCTTCCTCATCTCTCCTGCAGTACCAAAGGTTTCCAGCTGCCCAGCAGGGTAAGTATTCAGGACCACCAGCTCTTCTGGAGAGCCCACACACATCCATCTGGGGGTTCAGTGGGCCAGATTCTTTTTCCAATAAGGAAGAGAGTATCTGGAGAAATACATTGTCGGATGGTGCAGCAGCTCCAGGCATAGTTGGACAGATGCTGCTGGCAGTGATACCTGTTCCGTTATTGTCTGGGCACTTTGGTTTTTGCATCTGTCAGATGGGTTTTTGAAAGTAACACAAGATGAGACCCATGGCCAGCCTTTGGGACAATGCCTGATCTGACATGGCACCAATGATATTAGCTGATGCTGCCCTCAGGATGAAAATGAAGGGTGTTCATTTTCCAGTGGCGGCTTGCTGAACGGCCTGAGATTGGCTGATGGAGGTGTGGTCTGAGTAGTGTGTGTGTTCTCTCTCTCTCTCTCTCTCTCTCTCGGCTTCTCTGGTGCTGATGGATGTGTGGTCTGAGTAGTGTGTGTTCTCTCTCTCTCTCTCTCTCTCTCTGTGTATGTGTGTGTGTGTGTTGGCTTCTCTGGTGCTGATGGAGATGAAAGATGAGGTGGAGGAATGAGCTTCTCCAACCCAGTTGGCCTACTGAAGCTGTCCCCTAGTTTCGTAGTCACTCTGAGGCCCAAGGGGAAATGGATGGGCACCCTTTCCAGAAATCCCTGTGTTTTGACTCCACCCAAAAGACCTGTCAGGAACTTAGCTAGGCTCTGTTTTTTGAGAGAACACAGAAAGGGAAGGCTGGGGGAACGCTAGGAACGTCTATAGAGGCCATGCATTTGGTTAGTAGCCCGTTCTTCTTGGATGCATCCATCACCACTCTGTGCAGCGACAAAGGACACTGCAGCTAAGAGCATCGACACTGCTGCAGCTCCAGAGGATCAACTCTACTCCCTCAGGCTGGAAAAGCTTCTTCTGAATAAAAATTCTGATATTCCCTCCCGATGGGAGGGGAACCCACGTTGAAACAGAACAAAACAGGGATAGTGTGGCTCTTGCCAGGGGCAACATTAAAATACCAAACAAAGAAGGCAGTTCAGCACTAACCAGAAAAGACAGTACCGGCACAGCCTAGGGTCCTTTCCTTGCTGGATGCTGTGGTATCTAGGCCTCAGGAGAGGCACTAAATGTTTTATACAGAGGGAGAAGGCTCTCAGTGTTTTGTTATTGAGGCAGGAGATGCTTGCATTTTTTTTATCTACTGGACTTGAGGTCGATCAGTCACAGCTGTAGCCTCGTTATTAGATTCAAAGGCCTTGTCTGAGTCAGAGGCCTAAGGAGCTTTGCTCTCTGACACAGAGAGGGCCCACGAGTGGGGTTGGGCTATGACTGTCCGACTGAGGGAGATGGAGGGGGGTGGAGGGCACTGGGAGAAGGAGCTCCTGCAGCCAGGAGGCCTTGTGAGTGTCTCTTGGAGGATCAGAGCAACACCCTTTCTTAGAGTGTCCACGGCAGGAGCAGGACATCGTGTTCTTGATTGATGGCTCGGGTAGCATCCACTCCAGTGATTTTAAAACAATGCTACAATTCGTGGAAACTGTGATGAGCCAATTCCACCGACCCTACACACAGGTGTGTCTCTGGGGGCACGGGCCTGCGAGGCTTGCTGAGAAGGCTCGCTGGGCGGGTTTGAGGAGTCCTGGGAAGCTGTCTTAACCTTCAGCCCCATGTGCGCATGTGTGTTTTTTTCCCCTTAGTTCTCCCTGATGCAGTTCTCCGATAGATTCTTCACACATTTTACTTTCAAGGACTTCATCTCCACCTCAAACCATCTAATCCTGTTGAACTCTGTAAGGCAGCTGAGAGGGTATACATATACAGCCACGGCTATGGAGAAGGTCATGTGAGTCCAGCCTTCCCGTGTAGCCTTTCCTGGAGCATCCAGAACTCTCTTTGGGCCTCATCTGCCCATCTAAGAAAGAAACAGGAGGATCCTGTTGGTCCTCTTGTCACTTGGGAGTTTCTGAGTGGGAGGGGGGCCTCTCACAGGAAAGGCTACAGTCTCATTTTTGAGAAGCCATCTGCAGCCAGCGTAGTTTGTTCACAGACCTCTGGACTCTCTTTCTTCACAGAACGGAACTGTTCACTGCCCAAAATGGGGCTCGGAAAGATGCCACCAGGGTCCTCATTGTCATTACTGATGGGAGGAAAGAAGGTGACCGCCTGAGTTATGATGCTGTCATCCCCCAGGCAGATGCTAAGGGCATCATCCGTTATGCAATTGGGGTAAGACACAAAGGTGGTCATCCACTACTTGCTTCCTCCTGTCACTTCCTCTTCAAGCAACTTCCTCTAAAGGGCAGAACCCGGTTTTCTCATGTATGCAGACTGGGGACCTATGACCCCATCGAAACTTTGCTTCCACTCCCCAGTGCTGTTTGAGCCTCATTTCAGAAGACTCTCCAAGGCTGACCGAGGTGTTCTTGGTGGACGGCAGCCATAACAGTGCCTTAGTCACTTGCCTCATTGTGGGAAAGCATCCAGCAGAAACACTTAAGGGAGAAATAAGTTTTATTTCATTTTTCGTTCCTTGAACGTTTCACACATGTGCACAAGGACATGTGACCACACATGTCTTCATTTCTTATTCTCCTCCCCTGTGTCACACACATGTGACCACACACACGTGACCACACACACACGTGACCACACACATGACCACACACGCGACCACACACGCGACCACATACACGTGACCACGCACACGTGACCACACACATGTGACCACACACATGACCACACACGCGACTACACACACGACCACATACACGTGACCACACACACGTGGCCACACACATGTGACCACACACGTGACCACACACATGTGACCACACACGTGACCACATACATGTGACCACACACATCTTCATTTCCTATTTCTCTTCCCTTGGGTCACTTGTCCCTCCCTTTCCTAACTTTATGTGTTTAAAAAAAATGACCCACTATGTCCAATTAGTACTGCCCATATGTGCACAGCTGTGGGATGGGGCATGGACGCCATCTTTCCCATCTCTGTGGGACTTTGGGCTAGCTTGATCTTATGTGTGTTTTGTGAACATAACCAGAGCTGGTCTGAGTTCATGGATGCAGCAGTCACGTGGTATCCTGAAGCCAGCTCTTCATAGCACCCCCAACCCTCCAGCCCTTACACCCTGTCTTCCTCCTTTTCTGCAAAGGAACTATTTATGTTGATTCACGATTTCAGAGGGGCTCAGTCCATGATGGAGGAGAAGGAGGGGTAGAATCCATGGTGGGAGTTTGAGGCCACAGCTCTTCACAGTGTGGAGGACCAGAAAAGAGGCAAGAGAGGGTGGGGTGGTTGTAGGTTTAGGGTGGTATCCTACAACCCTAAAGCTCACCCCAGTGACCTTCTTCTGCCAGCCAAGCCCTACCTCACAAGCTGTTCAAAACACGAACCCATAAAGGAGTTTCCAGACTTCTGATTCTCTCCGGATCGGTCTTTTCTGGGGACAGGTAGGAAGGGCCTTTCACTATGAACAGACCAAGAAAGAATTAGAGAAAATTGCATCAGAGCCTTCCCAAGAACACATTTTCCACGTGGAAAACTTTGACGCTTTGAAGGACATTCAGAACCAGCTGAAGGAGAAGATCTTTGCCATTGAGGGTGAGTCAACAATGAAGCTGCTTGCTTCAGGAGTCCTCAAACACAGGGATTTTCCTGGTTGAGTCTAGACTCTTATGAGCTAGGCACTAATCCTTGCTTGAGGATTTGGATCTTAGACTCTCCTAAGAAGCCTCCCTGAGCCTGGGAAATGTCTTTCTCCCCAAGCCAAGCATCATGCCTCCCCCAGGTACAGAGACAGCAAGTGGCAGTTCTTTTGAGTTGGAGATGTCCCAGGAGGGCTTCAGTGCTGTGATCACACCTGTGAGTTGAGCTTTCTCAGGCTGGTGATGGAGGATGCTGGAAAGGAGGGCAAAGGGGAGCCAGGGGAAGTCTTTCTTCGGATTAGACTGGCATCCTGCTCCAGCCTGCTCAGCCCTGGGATCCTTTCCTCCCAGGATGGACCAGTTCTGGGAGCTGTGGGAAGCTTCAGCTGGTCTGGAGGTGCCTTCCTATACCTCCAAAATATGAGACCCACCTTCATCAGCATGCCTCAGGAGAACGTGGACATGCGGGATGCTTACCTGGGTAAGAAGAGGCTGTGGGAGGAGGAGGGGCAGGACGAGCTGCCTGAAGACAGGAGAAGCCTTCGTGCTGAGGTCTGGGCCCCTCAGGTTACTCCACCGCACTGGCCTTTCGGAAGGGGGTCTACAGCCTGGTCCTGGGAGCCCCTCGCCACCAGCACACAGGGAAGGTTGTCATCTTTACCCAGGAATCCAGGCAATGGAGGCCCAAGTCTGAAGTCAGCGGGACACAGGTTGGTAGAAGAGGAAGTCAGAGTGTGGCCAGGGTGGAGAAGGAGGAGATGAAGGGCCTTTGGAGCCCACAGGGGAAGCTGTGGTACTGGGACAGGGGCAGGGCCTCGCCCAGATGGGGCATCTGTAAGATGACTTCAGGCTTGGCCTACCAGATCGGCTCCTACTTTGGGGCCTCCCTCTGCTCTGTGGACATGGATGGAGATGGCAGCACTGACCTGGTTCTGATTGGGGCCCCCCATTACTATGAGAAGACCCGAGGGGGGCAGGTGTCTGTGTGCCCCATGCCCGGTGGGGTAAGTGGTGAAGCATCCTGCCTGGTGGTCTGTGGGTGTGGGTGGAGGGCTGCCCAGGTCGGGTCTGACGCTGGCTCTGTCTGCAGAGGAGCAGGTGGCAGTGTGAGGCCGCTCTCCACGGGGAGCAGGGCCATCCTTGGGGCCGCTTTGGAGCAGCCCTGACAGTGCTAGGGGACGTGAACGGGGACCGTGTGACAGATGTGGCTATTGGAGCACCTGGAGAGGAAGAGAACGTGGGGGCCGTGTACATATTTCATGGAGCCTCAAAACTGGACGTCAACCCCTCACCCAGCCAGGTGAGGCCCAATCACTGTCTCCCGAGACTACAAGAGCTTCCTCTTTGTCTCTTCTCTGTCACAAAGATTCTCTTCTGTGACTTCATTTCTTGGCTTAAGCACTGAGCATTTTGCAGCAGGTCAAACCCAAGCAGCGGAGACATGAAAAGGCAAGCAATTACCTTTCCCGCTTTGTCTTGAGACTCAATACTTGAGTAGTTTCCAAACCATAGCAATGCAATCAGTGATCCTTCCAGATGCCGAGCTGGGAAGGAGTCCTCCACACAGCAGAGCAGGGTTTCCCGGGAAGGGACAGCTGCTTGCCTGGGCAGATGTCAAAGCCGTCAAGCAGGCAGATATCTCAGCAGACCTTTCTCCCAAGGTTAACCAAGGCCAACAAACACAGGGCAAGTTGAGAACCCGGCATCATCATTCACGGGGTAGCGACCTCATCACTGTGCAGTGTGACTCATGGTCGTCTATACAGAATCACAGGGCCACCAATCATCAGGGCGTGGTGCATGCAGCACCCCCAGGCATGGCTGGTGAGAGTCTGAAGAAGCTATGGCAATTTTGAAACAATGTGTTAATTTCTCAGAAGATCAATTATAGAGTTATCATGTGACCAGACAATTCTAGCACAAGAGAACGGAACACACGCCCTCCCAAAGCTACATAGAATGCTGCTTGAAGCATTTCTCAGAATTAATAGCCGAAAGGTAGAAACAACCCATATGACCATCTACCTTTAGCAGATAAACCAAACGTTTACCTGTGCGGTGGCATATTACGCCACTATGAGCTGGTACAGGCTCTGTGAACGAACTTTGAAATCCTATGATAAGTGAAAGAAACCAGTTAAAAGAAATCATATGTTGTATGGTTGCCTTTACACAGAGTGTCTCTAGCAGGCAAATCCGCAGAGACTGCAAGTAAATTACCAGTTGCCTAGGTTTGGGTGTAAGGGGAAGTGACAGGCACGGGGTGACTGTTAACAGGTGTCCCATCTCTTGTTGGGGTGATAAAGTGATCAAAAATTAATCGTGGAAACGGTCTCACAACCCTGAAGACACGGGAGTTGCAGAGCTGTGAGGTGAACTCTACGGTGCACGAATATTTTTAAAAGGCCATTGTGCCGTCCTCCAGGAAAGCGCAGGGAGAGCCCTGTGGTTCTGCCAGCATCTGTGTAACACTTGAGACTGAATTCAGCAGTACTCAGAGATTAGTAAAACCTCTGTGTGTTTCTGTTCCTCCTTCCCCCCTCTCCCACCCTCCTTCCTCCCCCCTTCCTGGCTGCCATTTTGTGAACCTCTCTTCTCTTCCACACTTTCCCTCCATAATGAGCCCAACGAGCCCTTTCCCCTCTTAGTGGTTTAGTCAGGGATTTGTCACCGTGACATGAAAAGGGACCAACACCTGTCTGTGTCTGCCTGTAGGATGGTGACCACCATAGGATGGCCACACCTATTCTCACATAGCACTCAGACTACTGCCTGGTACATTAGCATGTCGTGTTACTGTAAGCTGCTGTCGTTTTAATTGTTAGCATCGTTTAACAGCTGAGGGAGATCTGAGGAAGGCGTGTGACTCGGGGAGAATCCCCGCAAGTGCACCCAGTTCGCACCAATGTGCAACTTCTCTTCCCCAGCATGGCTTACAGGCGCTACTGGGGTTCACCCATGGCCTTTCTGGTTCACTGACCGCAGTGATTCTTTTCTCATTCGCTGGACTGGAAAGGGTTTACGTCGTCCTCCACAGGCTCAGACACCAAACCCGAGACTTCCTGAATGGGAGGACCCTGGAGTCCGTTACCACACCCATCCTACCCGGGGTCCCTTAGTAACTGGCATTTGTTTTGCTTTTCAATTTTATGCTTATTACCAACATCTTTGGTCTCCACAGTGTCAGAGACTAAACCACAGGTTTCCTGAGGGATTAGGTATTTTAAGAATGATGGAAATAAAAGAGAACAAAGCCACAGGGGAGGTGATGCCCCTGAGGGGAGAATCGGGGTTAGCTGCAGCCACTCCCCCACCCCAGCTTTGTGTGTCTTTGTCCTTTGAAAAGACGGCAAGACGATGCTGGGTTCAGGCTGGAGTCAACTTCTTGTTTTGTTTATGAAGTGGGACTGAGGCATAGATGGGTCCTGAAGTCCTTTCTATTTCATTTCTGTAGTGCATGGGGGTGGCACACACACACGGGTGTGTAGGCATGTGTGTGGGCCCATGCATGTGAATGCGGAAGCCAGACGAGGACGTCTGATGTCTTTATTATTCTCCACCTTCTTACCTTGAGACATGGTCTCTCACTGAACCCGAAGCTTGAAGTTTCAGCTAGTCTAGCTAGCCAACTAACTCCCAGAATCTCCCTGTCTCTGCTCCCTAGTACTGGGGTTGCATCTACGATGGGGTTTTTCCTGAGTGCTAAAGATTTGAGCTCAGCTCCTCATGCTTGAACAGCAAACACTCTTACCCACTGAGTCACCTCCGCAGCTCCTGAGACCCGATTTAGCCTTGTCATTCATCATAGTAAGGTTGACTGCTGACCGCACCCCATGTATGGTTCTAATAACCATAGTGGATTCGCTTAATGCCTGCAAAAATATAAATATAATCCGTAGGCACAAATCCTAACATAGTCTCTCTGTGTGTGAAAGACAAAAATAAGGGAACCAAGGCACAGAAAGATTGAGTCCTGGCTCATGTGAGAGTCAATGGGAAGCAGGGACTAATTAAGTCAATGTAACTCAGGTCCCCAGGACAACTTGCCAGTCTCCGAACCCTTAGGACTCTAGCCGCCATTTCCCAGCTGCCCCTCTTCCTCTTAGACTCTGTTTAAATGATCTCTTGTCACCGCTTGCCCTTCCTTCTCTCACATTCTTACCTCCCTCTTTCTCACGTCGCTTGAACTTTTCTGTGTGTGGGTGTTTTGCCTTCATAACAGATGGGGGGCTGTGTGTGTGTAAGAAGGAGAGATATGCATGGCAAGACAGGACGCCAGGGAGAGCGCAGAAGGCTAGCCTTGCTTTGACACAGGATCTCACTGCATAGCCCAGCTGGGCCTTCAACTAGAGGTGCATGTTTGTCCCTTACAAGTGCTGGGATTGCGGTCGTGTGTCCTCATGCCTAGTCAAGGGAGAAGTCTTGTTCCTTTACAATAGCTCTAGGAACTAGATGATTTGTATAAACCCTACTTTCTCTCTTGGACAGCTTCTTAGTTACGGTTTCTCTTGCTGTGAATAACAAACCGTGACCAAAAGCAGCCAGGGGAAGAAAGCGTTTATTTCGGCTTTCAGTTTCATCTCACAGTCCATCAGGGAGAGAAGTCAGGGCAGGAACTCAAACAGGGCAGGAGCCTGGACGCAGGAGCTGCTGCAGAGGCCACGGAGGAGCACTGCTCACCAACTTGCTCTCCACGACTTGCTCAGCCTACTCAGGATCACCAGTCCAGGGGTAGCACTGCACACGTTGTTCTGACCCTCCAATCTATCATCAATCAAGAAAAAGCACTACAGACTTGCCTACAGGCCAATCGCATGGGGGCATTTTCTCTAAATTTCCTTCTTCCTACGTGACTTTGGTTTGTGTCAGTTTGGCATAAAAACTGGTCAGCACGGAGGGCAAAGGCCGCCAATAACACAGTTCCACTAGACTTCTCGGAGAGGCTGTCACACAGTTAGGAAACAAGCTGCAGCTAAACCATCATATCCCTTCATGGAGTCTGATTCACCTTCCTTTCTGGACAGAGGATTTCAGGATCCCGGCTCTTCCCTGGGCTCCAATATTTTGGGCAGTCACTGAGTGGCGGTCAGGACCTCACCGGGGATGGACTGGTGGACCTGGCCGTGGGGTCCAAGGGGAACGTGCTACTGCTCAGGTGGGCACAGCTTTCCTCAGACACTCCCCACCCATCCTAGACTAGGAACCTCCTTCCCGACTGGAGGCTGAGGTCCCAGTGGCCAAGAGCCTCTTCTCAGCTCAGTGTTCCACCAACAGGACCAGACCCATTCTTCGAATGTCACCGACTGTGACATTCTCACCTTCGGAGATCACCAGGTCTGTGTTTGAGTGTCAGGAGCAGGTGGCTTCTGTTCAGACACTGGGTGACGCCAAAGTCTGCCTTTATATTTATGATAGCTCCAAGACCCGACTAGGTGAGTTTCTTCCCTTTGACCCCCCCTGACCTTTGGAAGCCTTCTATCTGATGACTTGCCCCTCACCTACACGAGTAATTTCTGTCTCTCTCCATCTTCCTTGTGTTCCACATTCCCTTGCAGGTGACCTCAAAAGCTCTGTCACCTTTGACCTGGCCCTAGACCCTGGCCGCCTGAGTCCGCGTGCCATCTTCGAGGAAACAAAGACCCAGGCTCTGTCCCGAGTTCAAATCCTTGGCCTGAGCAAGCACTGTGAGACTGTGAGGTTGCTTCTGCCGGTGAGCCGACTGTAGACGGGTTGTGGGAATCGCTGTGGTTGGAGGCCTTCTGGGGACTGGAAAGAGGTTCAGCAGAGACAGAACACAGCATGTTCCAAATTTCCACCCAGGATCTGGCCTGCAGGCGATAGCTAATACTTGTTAGCTAAGGAAGCAGATGAATGACTATCGCCAGTTGCAGCTGCCAGAGGCCACCCAGCTGGATTTAGGGAAGAGAGCAGGGTTGCCTGGGAGAGCTGTGTGGCCTCAGATTGACTCAAACAGGCATTTATTGAGTACATACATAGAGCTGACCCCTGAGACACGCCCACCGCAGGGGACGAAGCAGTCATTGCCCATAAGGAGTTCCCTAGTGATGACCGGAACCTCCAAACAAACAATTTCTAGATAGTGAATGTCAGGTCCAGATAAATGCTACCCAGAGAAAACTAGAGAAGAGAACAGAACAGTCTTAGGAGGAGCCATTGAGTACAGTGGGAGAGCTGTATGGGGGTGGAGCTTACCGACCATAGATGAGATTGCTCTAACCCCCCTTCCACATGCAGAGATGGGGTACAGCCAGTAACAATGCAGAGGACTTTCTTTCAAACCACCCTCTTCTCTAGGCCTGTGTGGAAGACTCGGTGACCCCTATCACTTTGCGCCTCAACTTCTCTCTTGTTGGCCTGCCCATCCGTCCTCACCAAAGCCTTCTGCCCATGCTGGCTGTGGATGAGCAAACATACTACACAGCCTCTGTGAGTCAGCTTTTTATGGTGTTGGGGCTCAAGGGGGACACCAAGGCAGGCTGCCCTTTTGGGTAAGATATTTATTAGCAGGAGCTATCGACAGCATGGACAGGTATGGGCGTGGTGGGGACTCTGAGGAGAGTTCATGAAAACACAAGGCAGAGTGGGGAGCTTCTTTTTTTAAAATTATTTATTTTTTATTTTATATGCATTAGTGTTTTTGCCTTCATATATGTCTGTGTGAGGGTGTTGGATCCCCTGGAACGGGAGTCACAGATGGTTGTGAGCTGCCCTGTGGGAGCTGAGAATTGAACCCAGGTCGTCTGGAAGAACAATCAGTGCTCTTAACCACTGAGCCATCTCTCCAGCTCCATGGGGGCCCCATTTTATTGGTCGCAGAGAATGGCAAGGTTTCGTGCGGTGTGGTGGATGAGTGGTTCACATCACGGGCCTGCGGCCAGGCTGTGCCTGATTCCTGGGTAGCACGAGGAGGACGTCTGGGAACCTGCATTATGGGCAAAGATACGAGCAGCTGCAAGGCTGTGAGGGAAGGGGGAGCAGGGGCAATCTAGCTGAGGTGTAGCCACTATAATGGCAGTGATGGTTTGGGGTTTGGCAACCTGAACCTGCGAGCTTCTTTGGGGGAAGTTAGAATGGTGCTTGCCGTTTTCCTGGAGCCTGGGATCTGTTATGGAGCTCGAGAGCGGCTGAGAGGTTTTTGGTGGAGAGCTTGCCATCCCTTCGCTCTGGCTGTTTGCCAGAGGCTGGTGCATGAGCGCATGGCGTGAGCTGCCTGTCACCCCAGACCTAATTCCTATGTCTCCCTTTCCTCAGCTTCCCTTTGAGAAAAACTGTGGAGCCGACCACATCTGTCAGGACGACCTTGGCATCATCTTTGGCTTCCCAGAGTGAGCTTTCACAGGCTCCGTCTTCCCCCAGAGCCCCCCCCCCCCCCCCCCCCCCCGCCTCTCCCAGGGCCCCGCCTCCCCCAGGGCCCCGCCTCCCCAGAGCCCCACCTCCCTCCCAGGATCTGGTGCTCACACTCTCATGGGGAGGGGGGAGCAGAACGGGGCATCTCCTGTCTATCTTTCACCTGCTACCCCACATTTCATCCCCAGACCGTTTCTGGCCTCAGTCACAGAATCCTCTCCTCCTCCCTCCCAACACGCAGCTTGAAGACCCTGGTGGTGGGAAGTGACCTGGAGCTGAATGTAAATGTGACGGTCTCTAACGACGGGGAAGATTCCTACGGGACCACGGTTGCTCTGCTCTACCCGGTGGGCCTGTCCTTTAGACGAGTTGCAGAAGGCCAAATACTCCTCCGGGGGAAGGAGGAGGTGAGTGGGCTTGGTAGTACAGGCCTCTGTACTCGGTTCAAAGCTCAGGCTGGTGGCTCTTGCTTAGCAGTCTTTGGTGAGCCAAGAGATCTTCGCTGGTTCTGATTGGATGGTGGGGTGGTATTACGTGGGTTTTGGACTTCTGGAACCATATTTTGAAGGGCCAGTGGGATGGCTCAGCAGGTAAGAACACTTGCCAGCAAGCCTAGTGACCCAGAGCCCACATGGTGGAAGAAGTGACACCGGTGTAGCACGGATTCCGACTGGTATTAATAATAAAAGCTCGAGTCAGCTATCAGGGGTGATGCTGAAAACCAGAGAAGCAGCGCGGCCAGTCACTGGAGAATTCTTACCTCTACCAATGCTCAGATCAAAGGGGCGATCCTATCCTCAGACCGCACCTCAGACTGCTTCAGACTACGCTGTTCCTCAGACTGCGGGCTCAGACTGTTCCTCACCTCAGACTGCATCTGAGCTCCTGTCCCCTCCAGCCTTATATTCCTCTCTCCGTCCAGTCATATCACTCCTGTCTCCACCTCCCTAGTGCTGGGATCACCTTTATATGAGCTTTGTTTTAGACTGAATTAAGTTTGTGTAGCCCAGGGTGACCTTGAACTAACAGAGCTCGGTCCCCCTCTGTCTCCCGAGTCCTGGGATTAAAGGTGTGAACCACCACTGCCTGGCCTCTAGGGATTAGCTAGCTGCACCCTGATCTTCAGGCAAGCTTTATTTGTTAAAACAAACAAAATATCACTATATACCCGAAAGATATCATGGACTCCTGCCCCTGATTCCCTAACACTATTATCTGGGCTCAGAACTCTGGCGATCTGTCCTCTGTTTATCTTTGGCCTGTGTGCATGTACTATTTGTTTGTTTTTCCTGAGACATAGTCTTACTGGCCTGAAACTTGCTATGTAGCTCAGATTGGTTTTGCGTTCATAATCCTTCTGTTTCAGCCTTCAAAGTGCTAGGAATATAGGCACATACCACGAACCTTATAAAGTACTTAAAATATTATAAAATAAAAAACTTAATGTATTGGCTACTCTGGCCTTGGGCTTGCCAGAAGTTTTTCTGTGAAGGCTGGATGGGAAATGCTTCAGCTATGTGGACCATATTGTTTCTGTCCTAGCCTCTCAGCTCTACCTTTTCCAACAGTAGCAGATGCTGACACGAATCTACAGAAGTGTGCACAATACAACTTTGTTTGCACGAATCTACAGAAGTGTGCATAACACAACTTTGTTTACAAAAATAGGGCAGGTCACTCTGTTCTAGAAGACAGAACCAGAACCATAAAGAGTTATAAAGAAACAGTTTTTTTTTTTTGTTTGCTTGCTTTGTTTTTTGAGACAGGGTTTATCTGTATATCCCTGGATGTCCCAGAAGACCAGGCTGGCCTCAAACTTGCAGAGATCTGCCTGTCTTTTGAATGCTGGGATTAAAGGCAGGCACCACGAGCTCCCAGTGAAACATATTTTTCAAAACAGTTATTGTTAAAACAATTTTAAACTTTTACTGAAGTAGTGAGAGTTAAACAAACATCCTCACAGCGCTGTTGACAAGCATCAACAGCGATCAACATGTTGACCCGTTTGCTCCATCTGTTTCTCCCTCTCTCGGTGCCAGTGTCTCATTTAGCCCAAGCTAGCTTCAGATTCAAGCAGCCAAGGCTTTCCTTGAACTCCTGATTCTCCTGCCTTCACTTTTCCAGGGCTGGGAGCACAGGTGTACACCACCACACCTGGCCTTGACTTTATTTGCTGAAATATTTTCACACAAGGTTAGACATTGGACCATGGCTTCCTCTTCATTTGGCTCTGGAGTTCTGAGCAGCAGCGATGTCTTATGTGACCGCACAGTTGTCATGTCACCCAAGGAAATGAGCGAGTGTTTAGAGCATGGACAAATTCCTCTAATTCTCCCCCCAGTATCTGTTTTCCACCTGGTTCATTTGAGTGGGAATTTAAACTGGGCTCATACATTTGCTTTGTACGCGTGCTCTACCTCCTGACCTAGCATCCCTCCCTGGGAGCACATTTTAATTACTTATAAAAAAATGAACCAGGAAAAGTAATTCCCAGAGAGCATGCAATGACAGTGATCCTAGGTACAGCAGCCCAGTGTGGTGTGCGGATCTTTGATGGATAGTTATTTAACAGGAAAGCAATTTAAAATCAAAAGGGTGAAGAGGCAAGCCAGGAAAATGGAACATGACCGCTACATTGGGGGAGGCTTTGCTACTTCTGTTGTGTACGGTTTGTTTGGTCTTGTGATTCTATCAAGAAAACAACCTTGTTGGTTTTGAGTAGACATTGAAATATATTGGGATAAAATAATACGATGTGTAGGAAGTACTTTAAATTATTAAGAAAAGAAGAGGTGGAGAATAATCTACGGGGAGAGAAGCATAGGAAAACGTTGGTAACTTGTGCTGAGTGACGGGAAATAGAGGTTGATAGTCCCCTCTTTCTACCCTGATTGTGTTTGAAACTAATTGTGAAGTAACAAGAAGCAGGGTGTGCTGGTTCATGCCTGTAATCCTAACAGTTGGAGTCTGAGGCAGGAGGTTCACCATGAGTCTGAGGCTAGATTGGGCCTTCTAGTGAGTTCTAGAACAATATGGGCTACAGAACAATAACAGCAAGAACAAAAATCCCAACAAGAGGTGAAGGGTGGGGGCGCTAGGGACTGGAGCTTTCTGCATTTTAGGAAGTCTGGCCAGATGTCCAGCCTCAAGCCCTAAGATTTCCAGCGAACTGTGTGCTTGAATCCCAGCGTCTCTCTGGAACACTGACAAACACCATCTGCTGTACGCTTTTGGCCTTGTTTTTATCTAGAACCAATGGCGGCAGCGTTCCCTACACCTCACCTGTGATAGCTCTCCAAGCAGGAGCCAGGGCTTCTGGAGGACCAGTTGCAGCATCAGCCACATCATTTTCCGAGGAGGTGCACAGGTCAGCCTGGCTTCCGCCTAGCCCATCCCTTGTTCCCATTCTCCTCACTCTTCCGTGACCACTCCCTTTTCTTCCTCAGATGACTTTCTTGGTAACTTTTGATGTCTCTCCCAAAGCTGTGCTGGGGGCCCAGCTGTCTCTAACAGCCAGAGTGAGCAGGTAAGCTGGCTAGGCCCAGGGGGGTGTCTTTCTAATTCTGCTCCTTACACCTCATTCTCTTCCTCTGTCCCCAGTGAGAATGATACGCCTAAGACCAATAAAACCACCTTCAAGCTGAAGCTCCCAGTAAAGTATGCCGTGTACACTGTGATCAGCAGGTACGCTCTCTAGGACCCCGGATGGTTCTTCTTTACGTGGAAGTAGGGTTTGCAAGAGTCACTACCCTCACCGGGATGTTTCAGGCTTTATTGTCCTTTCAGTAGGAGATGATATTGGTAGCTGCACATATTCATCAATGGGTGTTCGTTATGACCATAATTGTGAAATCACTATCATTACAGCCTATATTTAATGCAGGCTACAGGCTTTGAAAATTCACAAGATTGTCTTGGGTCCTCTGGGGTATATGCAATACACCCTTGTATTCAAGGTTCTTATAGCCTACGTGGAGATCAAGGTTGCTGTACCCAAGTCAAAATCTCACCAAGCGCTGTTCTTCAGTTCTGTACCCTACGTAGCATGGCATGTCAATCAGCTTTCTATTGCCACAAGAATCTGAAGCCATCTGCAAATGGAAAAGGCTGATTTGGGCTCACGGTTGGGAGGTTTTAGTCCACGGCTCACTGGCCTGATGCTTTGGGTCTGTGGTGACATAGTGTACCATGATGGATGTCCTCATGCCATGGCAGGGAGGCAGCAGAGAAGGCAGAGGAAGGAGTTTTGGTGTTACAGCCTATGTTGGGGCACCCTGCACTGATCTAGGAACTTCCCAGTAGATCCCCCCTTCCTGACTGTGCTGCTCAGAGTGCTAAGCCTAAATTTAGGGAACGGAGAGAATGGGTTTCAATATGAAACTGTAGCTGTGGGTTACTAAACTGGTAGTGAAAGAGGGCTCATCTGAACACTGGGGGGTCTACGGCACTGGGCTTGACCAGGGTGATTCTCAAAAGAGCCGTTGGCATTTGTGCAAGACTGTTATTTTTCATAAGAAACGGACACAGCTCATAGGGCAGATTCTCCACAGGAGTTGCATATCAGATATTTACATTATGATTCATAACTGTAGAAGAATTACAGTTCTGAAGTAGCAAAAAAAAATGTGGTTGGGGGTCACCACAACACGGGGAACTAAAGGCTCACAGCATGCAGGTTGAGAACCATTGCCGTAAGGCTTTTTGAACCTTCTCCTTCCCAACTTTTATAGAAAATAGGAATGAAAGATACCTGCTGAGGATGGGTGTCAGGGAGGCAGGTAGGGCCTTAGCTGGGACTAAGAAGCATGGGAGGAAGTATTGAGACTTAGGTGATCCTACAGATAGGGCACAGCACCTGCAGACTTAGGTGGTTCTGCATGTCAGATAGGGCACAGCACCTGTAGACTTAGGTGGTCCTACAGGTCCATCACAGGTCCCAGTCTTCAGGCAATCGAGAGCATTTGGGAGCAGTCCTCTGAGTACAGGAGAAGTGAAACGTAGGAGGGTTGCCATTGGGTGAGGGCAGGGAGCTGTCAAAGGTAGAGCAGGTGCTTCCAGGTCACCACTGGAGAAAGAACTCAGACCTGAGACAGTGAGGAGTTGGGAGGAGGAGTTACTGCAGAGCGAAAGTGCACATTTGAGAAGGAGCGCAAGCTTCTCATGAGAGAGTGGTGTAGCCCAGGATTCCGGAGAGCTTGTCTGATTGGCCGACTGCAGTAGAGACAATCCTCCTGATAGGGCCTGCCCATCTTTACTGCCCTTACATGGGGCTGTCCTCAGATGCATGATGGGAACAGCTAGTCTTGTGTGCTAATGGTTATGATCCCTTCATTAGCCATGCTGGTCCTAGTTGGCTTGGGTTGGTCTTGTTACTGTTCGAGCAGACACCGGTGGTGTGCTGTAGTACGGCTCTGCCGGTATATCAGGCACAGCTAACCATACAGGCTTTTCCTCTTCTCCTCTGTGCCTTGCTAGCTTGCCTCAAGAGGAGGAGTGGTGGGCTAGAATTTGGGGTCTAGAGGTTAGGTACCCGAGGAATAGAGTGGTAAGGGACAGAGGTAGAATCAGCTGGGATGTGAGGGACCTTGAGGTCCCTGCACTCCCAGGCTTGAACCCAAGTAGGTCTCATGAAGTTTTGTTACATCGAGACCTATGGAAGAGTCTGGCATTGGCCCTTCAAAGCTTCACGGTGATAGAAGGCAAAGAAACAGAAAAGGGGGCGGGGTTAGGAGTCAAGAATGGGCGGCGGGGCACATGGTCAACAAAATTTGCTGTATCCTACATGTCCACAAAGGACTGAAATGAAGGGTGAGGTGTAGAAATGGGGCAGGCAGTGGCCCCTGCTCTCCCCACGACACAGTGGTGTGGATCTTAAGTCTGTTCACTACACCCCAACCTATTCTTTCTTCAGTGATCTCTTTTGGGTAGCTCCTGCATGCTTCTTTATACCCGCCCTGAAACCCATCCTGCCCCCTAAACCTTCTTTTATTCCAACCCTGCCACACACCTCGTTCTACCACCCAAAGGTCCACCCGACTACTTGTATCCTCATGCCAGTGCCAGGCCCTCCTCAGGAGGCCAGGCGGGACTTCATGACTCTTCTCTCCCCAGTCACGACCAGTCTACCAAGTATCTCAACTTCTCGGCCTCAGAAAAGGAGAAGAGCAGCGTGGTCGAACACAGATACCAGGCAAGTACGGAGACTTAGGACCGGGGAGCTGGTGAGTAGGGGCGGAGGACTTGGGTATAGACTCTACCCGCAGTGCCTTCTGTGCAGGTGAATAATCTGGGGCAGAGGGACGTGCCAGTCAGCATCAACTTTCTGGTGCCTGTAGCGCTGAAGGGAGAAGCTGTGTGGACAGTGGAGGCCCCCCAGCTCCAGGTACTCAAAACCAGCCCTGGCTCCTCAGCGAAGGCCCTTGACTTCTATCCCCTGTGTCACTCACGGGTCCCTGATGCTGCAGCCAAAGCCCTGTTTTCTGTTTGCCTTCTAGAACCTTCCCACCCAGTGCTATCAGAACAGAATGGTGCCAACACAATCTGACCTCCTGGCTCACATGCAGAGGAGCCCTGTGCTGGTGAGGAGGACCGGGAGGTTTCAACGTGTCACACCAGGGGACTCGAGCTCACTTTGCGAATGCCAAATGGCACCTGCTGAACAACCAGCTGTATTTAGAAGTTGCTGCTTCTGTCAAGTACCACAGCTTAGTGCTGTCTCCTACTCTCAGACTTAGCTTCCTCCGGTCTGATACTATTTCTCTGGCCCCAGGACTGCTCCATTGCTGACTGCCTGCACTTCCGCTGTGACATCCCCTCCTTGGGCATCCAGGACGAGCTTGACTTCATTCTGAAGGGCAACCTCAGCTTTGGCTGGGTCAGCCAGGTGCGTGGGCCAGAAGCAGAAGTCCTCCCCCAGTCCATGTGCGCCTGATGGCTCTGGAGCATCCTTGGGTCAGGGCGGTTCTTGACCCCTGAGCTCCTCCCAGGTCCAACTCCCAGCTCTGCTCCACCCTCTCTTTTGCAGACATTGCAGAAAAAGGTGGTGGTCCTGAGCGTGGCTGAGGTCACATTCGACACATCTGTGTATTCCCAGCTGCCAGGACAGGAGGCGTTTCTGAGAGCCCAGGTAGTGGCTGTGTGGCAGGCGGTGGCCAGGCGTCTGCAGTGCTGGCTGGGGGCCTTGCCAGCCTGGAGGGAGGACGAGTGAAGGGCCTTAGACACTCAGTGTACAAGAGCTTCTTTATTGCACCCCTTGGAACAGAGCCTGGACAAGGAGGAGAGGGAGTTAGAGGCTAGGATCCCGGGGGCAGGTGAGGCAGCATGAGAGATGATGTTTTCCACTGGGTCCACCTCCACCAGACGAAGACAGTGCTGGAGATGTATGAGGTTCACAACCCGGTCCCTCTCATCGTGGGCAGCTCTGTGGGCGGTCTGCTGCTGCTGGCTCTCATCACAGGCGGGCTGTACAAGGTGAGGGACTTATCCTTCTTATGGCAAGATTTGATCATGCTTCTCCTGCAGGGTAGGCAGGGGCTCATGCTGGAGTCTGAGCACATCATCACCGGCACACATCACGTGACAAACCCTCCCCACCCAGTGATCCCTCGTTTGTGCCTCCCCATCCGAGAGCCACTCTCATCTCTCTCCTTCTTTCTTACTCTTCTCTGCTTCTCTCTCTGTTTCCTTTTCCAGAATAATAGAACATAGGTGCAGACATGGACTTGAATGTTGACACCAGGGCTGGACCGGGCCTTGGTCTTTTTCAGTGTAAGAGTGATTGAAGCCACATAATTCTGTCTGTGTCTAAATGATGCAATATGTACCCGGTTATTTGAAAGTCGTAGGGCTCCAGAGATGGTTACCCTTCCTGTCCTTTAGTCATTTATTTCCTCTCTTTTTTTTGCATTTGTGGGCGTATATACATGCATTCATGCATGCATGCATGCATGCGTGCGTGCACGCGCATGTGTGTGTGTATGTGCGTGTAGGTGCACATGAGTTTGTGGGTACGTACTCATATGTGCACATGTGAGTGTGAAGGTTACCAGTAGATGCTGAGTACCTGTCTCTATTACTCTCTACCTTACACATTGAAGCAGAGCTTCTCACTTGAACACAGAGATCACTTTGGCTAGTCTTGCTCCAGGGATCCCGTCTCCACCTCCTGAGTTCTGGGCTTACAGGCAGGGCACCATGCCCATGCATCGTTAGTATGGACTCTGGGCATCCGAACTCCAGTTCCCACGCTTGTCAGCAAGTGTTTTACACACTGAGCCCCTTAGCGCCTCTCATCCTTCTTCCATTTTCCTCTTCCTTCCTACAGGCTGGCTTCTTCAAACGTCAGTACAAGGAAATGTTGGCGGAAGCAAATGGACAGACTGTCTCAGGAAACGAGACCTCAGACCCTCAGGAAGCCCAGTGAGAACTTGCCTCCTTGTCTTCTTTGAACCTGCCCTCCTGAGAGGCTTCCCAGATCTTTTACTCTCCCCTAGGTCAGGCTCAAGGACAAAGAAACATTCTGCGCCAGGAATGCTGGGGCCAAGCCAACTCTGCTCTTTGTGTCTTGTTTGGGAAGGGAGACTTGTCTGGTCAAAACGTTACCTGAAAACTCTGAGGATGCAGTCTCTTCTATGGCCCAGAGAACCCGACTAGGAACTTATGCCTAGGAACACATGGGCAGTTCAGTGGCCCCTTCGTTCACTGGCCACTAATGAGCTTTATAGGATGAAGAGTGGAAGTAGTCACCCGCTCTTGTCTGTTTCCAGTTCCTCCCATCTATGTTCAGGATGCTAGGACTGAGCTCTGTTTTCAGGAGGGGAACCTCAGACAGCCTGGGATACTCTGCTTCCGTGTCATCTTCATTTCTAGTAAAATACTGTTGGCATCAGCTTGTAGCTTTTCTCTGATACTCTAACCCAGCTTTCTCTGAATTGGCAAGGAAACATCTGTACAATGTAATCAGTGGAGCTGGCTTCTAGTGCCAGCGTTGCTAGCTGGGAAGAACAGTGTCCTTTTCCCTCAGGAGGGACCTTGCTCCCATACAGCGCAAGGTCAAAAGAGGCCCATGCTCCTTTTCTGTGTGACTTCTTCTGGGAAGACATAAGCAAGCATCTGTTTACCCAGGATAGAGCACTGGCAAAAGACCAAAGACATTTTTTCACCCAACCTTGCCTCGTGCACAAATGAGAGAGCTGGCTTAGTTTTTCCATTTCTGACGGCAAACATGTGGCATCTTCAGCAGTAGGAACTTACCATCGAGCTCTAAGATGCAGTCAACAGCTGTGGCAAGAGATTATTTTATGACTTTGGGGGCATCATGGACCTCTTTGACTAATAAATCCTAGGGAAGTAGCCTACCTTATGGCTCCTGAGAATGCCTTTCCCTACAAACGCGGTGTGCCTTCATTCAAACTCTTTCATCGCTGTCTTACCACTCCTTCAGATTCTTCCCTGAGTCTGAAGCATTGAGGATTAGCATTATATAATAAATCATTTTTCTAGCCTGTCTTTGTAGTGATTGATGGCTAATCTAGACTCATGGCTGCTTTTGGTGCTGAGACCAGGAGACTGGTGAGTGCTCAGAATTAAACAGGACGCTTATGTCACCCTTTCCAAGCTCAGAGTGGAGAGAATCACAGAAAGAGCGGCAATAGTGTAAGGGCTGAACATTAGGGAGGAGGGCTGTGGCTGTGAGAGAGATGCTGTCTTATGGGGTTGAGGAACAGTTTCAGTTGTCTGCACAGGACCTGGACAAAACTGACCTAGTCAATACTCAGTCATAGAGAAGGGGCCTTCCCTGTCCAGGGGAGCTAAAAGCATTCAAAGCTTGCTGGAGGAGAGGTTATTGTCTTCATGTTTCAGTGGTTAGCCCCATACCCATGCACTTGCCTCCGTTAAATCAGAGGGTCACAACACAAAACGGAAAAGCAGAGCAAAACCACACAGATATAGAATGGGACTTGTGGACTGGGTGGGCTGGTTGTGCTGGGAGAGAGTAAGAGAGGGTGAAGGGATGGATAGAGTCAGAATGTACACTGTGGCCCCTCACTCACCCTCCATCTCCACACTTGGAGGCCCAGCTCATGCCGCTTGCGCATCAACCTTGCTGGCTGAATTCCCCAGACCCCCCATCTGCTTTTATGGTATCGCTACACTTGCAAGCCTAACTCCAGCCAAGCACCTCGTGTGCTTGCTGTAGACCTAGATCTAGTCATCAGCTTCTGTTCCGGGCCAACCTGAGACAGATGTGAAATCTAGGAAAGAAGTGCACATGGCCAGGTATCACTGCAACAGCAGAAGCTATCAGAAAGATCAAGACAGGATGTCCCCACTCAAACCCATTAGTCCCATAGAAAAGCTCTCCAGTTACTTAGGAGAACTCTAGGACACAGAATTTAAAGGAACAATGATGAATGTAATCAAATAATTTCAAGGGGCTTAAAGAAGGTACATTATTGTGAATTAGGTCAGTACGATAAATAACCAGGCCAGCTCAAGGTGTATTTTAATGGTTAAAAGGGGGAAACTCACGCTACAAGAATGGGAGGTCTGACATCCTATCTGTCAGGCGGGCACTGCGCAGAGAGGGCATGCATCTGGGTCTTCCCAGTTTTTCTGCCTGGGCCCCAGGGAGCCACACCCTAACTAGATGTGATTGGTTGATAGAGTTTCCCCATCAGTACAGTGAAACGACTTTGTGTATTCTATCTGACCACAATGCAATAAAAGTTAAAAGAATGAACACATTTCTAGTAGTTACCCAGACATACAGAGGTTAAACAACACATTCCTTAATAGTGAACGGGTCAAGGAAGACATTAGGAAAGATTTCTATTTATAAGTTTACTTTTACTTATGAATCTATGCATATATATCATATGCGCAGGTTCCAGATGTCATTGGATCTCTGGAACTCGGGTAATAGATGCTTACGGGCCATGTGTTACGGGTGCTGGGAACTGAACTTGGATCATCTGGAAGATCAATAAGTTCTTTTAACTGCTGAGACATCTCTCCAGGCCAGGAAAGGTTTTCCTTAAATCCTGGAACAAAATGAAAATGAAAACATAGTACAACAACACCTCCGAGGCATATTGAGAGCAGTCCTCAGAGAGAAATCTATGTCAAACTCCTACATTAAAAAATCAGAGCAAGCTTGATGCACCCCATAGATGTGTAAAAATAAAGACGGGGGCTAGAGTGATCGTTCAGAGGTTAAGAGTTCTTGTTGCTCTTTCAGGGGACCTGGGTTTTGTTTTCAGTACCCGGATGACAGTCCACAATCATTTATAACTGCGTTTCCGGGAACCTGATGTCCTCTTCTGGACTCTACCGGCACCAGGCGTGCATGTGGTGCACACGCCTTCATTCATGCAGGCAAAACACTCATATTCTGAGAATAAAAGAATCTGGAAAACAATAAATCCAAATCTAGTAGATGACAAGGGATAATAAAGACCAGAGCAGCCCCTGGTCTTGCCACCTCTTGGTGCAGACCTAGAATGGTCCTTTTCCGCCGCTCCCATCAGCCTTCCCTAGCCCATCTCTGTTCCTTTGGGTCAGTGGCTGATTCCCAGAAACACTTTCTGCTGGGGATTCGCAGTGGCTACATAGGCTGGGCCTCAGGTAGGAGATTCTCACTGTCTTCCCTGCTCTATGTTAGCCTCTATAACAGCTTGCTTGTAGGAGCCCCTCCAACCACCCCAAATCCACAACTTAGGGAGTCTGCCTTTCTCTGCAGACCTAGGGTTCTCCTAACCCTTTCATTCTGGTCCCTCCAGACTTGCTCTTATACCACTGAAGTCTGCTTGCAGGAGCCCCACCTCCTACCACACCTCCACTCCTGGAGAACTCCACCTCTTAGTGTGGACCTACCTCCCTAGCTCTTTTCTCCAGTCCTCTTGACTCTTCTTCCTGGTCCACTGTCTTAGTTAGGGTTTCTATTGCTGTGAAGAGACACCATGACCCCAGAAACTCTTATAAAGAAAAGCATTTAATTGGGGCGACTTACAGTTTCAGAATTTAGTCCATTATCATCGTGGCAGGACACGGTGACATGCAGGGAGACATGGTGCTGGGGAAAGAGCTGAAAGTTCCTATATCTTGATCCACAGACAACAGGAAGTGAACTGTGACACAGGGCATAGCTTGAGCATAAGGAAACTTAAAGCCCACCCACACAGTGACACATTTCCTCTAACAAGATCACACCTACTCCAGCAACGCCACACCTCCTAATAGTGCCATTCCCTATGGGGGACCATTTTTGTTCAAACTACTACATCTCCTCACCAACCTGCAGAGGCACCCTCTACCAGGGACACCAAAGGATAGAATACCTGTCTAAGAAAGCCAAGACCAGAATGAATGTCAAGAAATACCTCAAAAGTATAATTCCAGATACCTAGACTGTAGGAAGCACAATGGTCAGCACTAGGGAAACCAGGAATGTCAATCACACAGGCCTGTCTCTTTAAATGAAGAGATGTATAATGTATTTTATGTCCAGAAGGCTGGGAATGGTGGTGGTCAATAGCCCAGTGACCTTTGTGCTATCTGTATGGCAAAACCACACCTGGCTCCCCCACATTCCCACAATAGCCCAGTGACCTTTGTGCTATCTGTATGGCAAAACCGCACCTGGCTCCCCCACATTCCCACAAGCCAGACCGAAGGTGGTTAACAGCCTACGTAGCCTTTGCACTATCTTTATGACCGAGACCACACCAGATCTTCCCCTAGACCCTAAAGATAACACATGTAGCCTCTCTATGGAGCCCACCTTCTTGGAAGAAATGACACATGCTTTAAGAAGTATTTTGGTGTAATTATGCCTCATTGTACAGTGGGATTGTGTTACAACAGGAAACATTTTTCCAAATCGTACTGCACTTACATACGCCTAAAAGAAACAGCCCGGTGTCAGACTCTAGAAGGCTGAACCAACACTGTTATTGAGTTGTGTTGAACTTCTTGCCTCATGCGGGTGGCTACTCTACCAGCTCTCCTGGTATTTGCAGAGACTGTCACACTAGACCACAGTGCACACACACACGCACACACACACACACACACACACACACACACACACACACACGAACACAGTTAAGACAATATGCCTCTACCTGAACCCTGTAACCCTGACAGATGGAATATAGTTGAAACATAAGATAAATGACTTCAAAGTAGCAGCTATGAATATGTTCAAGGACCTAAAGAGGATCGAGTAGATCTCGTAATGAAGTTTGTGAAAACACAAACAGTTAAATGAAATAATAAAAACAGTTCAAGACATAAACGTAGAATAACAAAGAAATAGAATAATTGAATAAAACCCAACTGAAATAAAACTGGAAATGAAAAACTTAGGATGTAAAACAAAAACTTCAAAGGTAAAAACCTCACCAACGGATTACAAGACAT